TAGAAAAAGGAGTACAAGTGAAATAAAAAAATAAGAAAAACCAAAGAGAAAAAAGGAAAGCAACAATAAGAAAAAGAACCGCCCAACCCCAAGTACATTCTTGCCCAACTTAATAGACCATAACTCCCTTTGTCAATTATGATAACCTCAGTGCTCCTCGCGAGTTTGAGATCGTGTTCTCATACGATGTGAACGTGGAGTCCTCTTTCTGTTTGTCTGTGTGTTCAAATAATTTGTAGGCAAACAGTTATCCCTCGTAACAAGCAATGCCTTATTACAAATATTTTGATTAGAGTCAAAATCCCATAAATCATCCACCGGTGATATAAGAGTATGCTTTTCATTCTCTGATGTGTGACCAAGATATGTATCCCCCGAATCATCAGATGCTCCCATGCCCCAGGAGTCATGCTCTTGAACTCCAAAATTTGAGAAATTTGGGCGCTCAAAGTGCGAACCGAAAGAGTCTGGAATTATTGTATTTTCTTTGATCTTTTCTGACCGAAAGCCTCCGATCCCTTTCCATAACTCCCTTGCTCAGTAGTAATCCCGTCCTTTTATGGATTATTTCCACGGCCCTCATGAAGCTGTGTAATGATACGATCATACTCTTTTGAAGGAAAAGCTGTCAAATTGGTCACACTCGAATTCATAATATCCTGAAAAAATAACTTCAGCTCTGAAATAGAATGATTTAACACGACACAGAAATGAGAAGGATCAAGAGATGAATCTTTATCAGGAAAGCCCAAAGTGTTGTGAGTATTCTCAGAAAGTACAAAATCAGCGTGCAGTAAGGTGTCTGAAATTGTGAGCTCCTTAGTCTCCAAATAGTTGGCAATTTGGCATTGTTTATTATTTCAGCATCTGAACAAGAAACTCCATTCAGAGTTAAAGATTCTTGTGTAGGAGTTGATTCCTTCATAGTAGAGATAGCCCATGAAAGACCTGCAATAAATCGAGTGATACCGATTCCATTTTCACATTCGGGTATAAACAGGGAGTCTGCGCCCGAAGAAATTCTGACAAATCCTCCAAAATAATCTTCTTATATACAAACCACCGTGGAACTATTGGTGATTTTCCCGCCCATTCCCCTGGTCAACTATGGGAAAAGTTGGGTCAAAGGAGAGCTATCTTAAATGTTTTCTGTTCCATGTGTACAATACGGCTGTAATAATGTTTAGCAGCTGTCCATCTTTTCAAAACTTTTTCAAAACATTAAATGAATTGCCGGCCCCTATCTTATATATGCATTAAATGAACAGTACTCGCATATCCTATTGGGCAGAACAAAATATTCATTGTTACCTTTAAAGTACAATAACATTAAATGGTTTCCAAGTACCCAAGCCAAGTTCGAAAGCAATTGGAATAGATATCCGTTGGATCTTAAGGTTTTTAATGTCTATTGGGTATTAAAGCCATCTATAGGTAAAATACATGTTTGGTTGCCCTATAAATAGGGCTATCTCATTCAGATTAGTTGCCATCCCACAATAACACAGCATCACAAAACAAATTTGAATGGCAGAAAGCAAAACATGAATGTATTCATTCATCAAGAATGTCCGCATGGGCTTTAAGGGTGAAAGTGGTACGAGCAATAACATGCCGGAACAATCCAGATGAGGACAACATGTGGAAATAGTGCTCATCGACTCAGAGGTAGTATGACACCATTATATTCTTTTACATTTTACTCATGCATATTTTTCAAGAAGAAATGCCAATTTTTGTTGCAGGGAGATAATATTGGGGGACAAAGGCTCCAAATCTTTCTCCCTGAGGTGGATGGGTCCTTTTTTCACTGCAAAGGTAAAACAAGTCAATAATAAAAGAAATAATATCCATATACGGAGTATTTTTATTTGTTAAAATTTATAAATTTTCCTTTCCATACTGATTAACAATAAATATCTTAATTTGGTTTTTAATTTAAGAGTGAGGATTGCAAACAATTTGGGAATTATCAATGAAAAGGGAAATCTTGGTAGTAAGAAAAACAAAGGTAATATTTTGGATTCATAACTTAAAACGTAAATGTTACTATTTCGCATTTATACGTAACACTTGATGGTAATTTATGTGCATACAATGCACCACCTAATGATTATGTGATGGTCCAATACCCTTATAATGAAAATAATGATCAAACAATAGTAGTACAAAATGCAGTAGGAAGAAAAATCAATGTGGAAAACAATTTTTTTATGTTCTTTTTTTGATAAAATTTAAAATTTAACCTCTTAATTTTTATATGCTTTGCTTTTAAAACAATTTCAATTGAGATTGCTTTAAATTGTGAACTTGGTATTTAAAAATCTAAATTGTTGAAATCCCTTATTGTTGTGTGTTTGTTTTTCTGGATTGCAGTCTCATATACTGATATACTTGGTATGATGAAGTTTTATATACTTGGTATGATGCAGATCAGGAATGCAGTCTTTTCAGGATTGCAGTCTTCTCAATATGCTCAATGTTGTTTGAAGGGGGTCAAAGTACATGGATTTTAGAACAATGTCACTAAGTATTTGAAAGAAAACTGAAAACTGGGATTGTAATGGATGGATTATAGAGAGGCAAAGGTAAAAGAATTTAGTAAAAACTATATACGGAGAACAAAAGTAAAATAAATAAAGGAGCAAGCTAATGGTACTAGCTGCTGTATACGTTCTGAATTTTGGCTACAACCAAGGAATACCAGATTTCAAACGAATACATTATAGGATACACAATCTGAATAGAAGATCACTTTATATGTTCAATTAGAAAATGAGAGCAAAAAATGACTCTGAACAAAATTTAAGCTCAATCATTCATTTTTAGAAAAAGTTTTTTTAAAACCAATTTGGTGAACTTCAGGAGAATCTAATGCTCACTAAATGCACAGTTTAGTAGTTTACAGTATAAGTAAGAAATCTTATTCCTTGAAAGAACTTTGGAATAGTGCACGAATTTAGGCTTGAGAAATATTCTTTCAAATAAAAATCGGTTACTGATAAAAAAAATATAAAAATCGGTTACAGATGCTTTTGTATTAAAAAAACAAGATTGGTGCTTTTTGTCTCCCAGATTGCATTCAGAACGGCATGCATAGAAAAATGCATACAAGGAAAAAAATTCAAGAACAAAGACAAAAGGGATATACCCAAATAACAACGATAGTAGATATGATCTGAGATCCTTTTATATCCCTCAGCCATCCTAAATATTCCGGTTGTCGCATAAGGAACCATGAAATAAAAAATAAAACATAGAATAAACGAATTAAATGTCGATACCGTCAGATTGGAGGCTAATAATCGACTTTAACCATCTTTTGAGGAAAGCTTGAAGGACCGATAGCATAAACGAGAGCAACAACGAGGCTCATCAGTCTGCAGAATAGATGATCGATAAAAATAGTGTACGGGCAAATGAGGGGCTGAGGTAGATACACACATTATATATGGTTTATTTTCGGCTTGGGTAGATGGGTATGTTTAATATCAAACATTGGGTTGGGTTATATGGGTTGGGCTGGGTTATACGCCCTTTTAATGGGGTGGCACTTGGCAGGGTTATGTTGATTATTATTATTATTATTAATATATTGTTATCACTGTTATAATCATTATTATATATTATTATTATATACATAGTATTGTTTAATGTATATGAAATTATATGTTATTATTAGTATTATTTATTTTAGAATTTTATTTATTATAATCACTATCACTATACAGTTCGATTAAAGAGTTTTTGTTGTTTTCTCATAATTATTATATTTATATTACCTCCGTACTAATGTACCTTGCACTCTTTGAATTAAATGAAAATACAAAAAAGTAAAATTGTGTAGTTGGAGTTTGTAAGGAGGAGAGAGTAATTAGCAAAACCAAAAATTAATTACTTTAATGAGAAAGTGACAAAATTTTTTGGGACAACGAAAATGAAAAGTTGTCCAAATCCAATGGGATGGAAGGAGTATTATTATTATATGATTACATCATGCGAATGAATAACACTAATTTTATTAATGTTTATAATATTGTTATTTTATTATTATAATTGTGAATATTATTTAATTATTTATTGATTTAATAATTTAGTATCGAAATTATTAAATAAGCGGTTATCATATACTAACTTCGTCCCACTCAACTTTGTCAAATTGAGATTAGAATAGTAAAACATGTGTTATTGATATTTGTGTAGGGGGGGGGGGGAATGAATAGCGCTACAAATTCAATGCTTTAAAAGGAAAGTGACAAGTTTTTCGGTACAAAAACAGAAGTTTTTAGGGAGTATTATTTTTAGAAGTATTGTTATTACTATCCGGGTTCATTATTAATATATTATATTTTCAAAATTATTGTGATCCCGATAAAATTTATTAATTACTAATTAGTATTATGTTAATAACAATAATAATAATAATAATAATAATAATAATAATATCACTAACATATTAATATCAATGTTATATTATATTATTAGTAGTAGTAGTATATTAGCATTATTATATTGTTAAATACTACCACGTAACATGTGTAAGCGAAATGTTTATTTATGAGCCACAATTGTCTTTTACTTAATCGTGACCTCTTATGCAATGACTATAAACTAGAGTCAATCAAGATTAATCTCTGTTAGATGTTGGAATTTTACTAAAAAAATTAGTCTTCACTCACGGTCAACTTTATGTTGCAGTGTCAAGAGTTAACAATAAAAAATGGTTGAAAATATGGATATGCGATGAGGATTATCAACAGATCGATCATATTGACTAATGTGGTTTACAAAAAAATCTTTCAAAATTTGTAGTTTCACTATGAACACTTATTATTGTACTTACCACTTTGTACTTTCAAATGTTATACTCTGTATCTCTTTTATAATATATACATTTTCCCTTCTTCGTTGATGTTTTAATCTCTCTTTAACTACGAACACTTATTATATTACTTGCCGCTTTTTTCCGAGTTCAATTATTTTTGTGTTTTTATAATAGACTTCTTCATCATACATTGCTAAACTTTCATCCGTGCATCGCACGGGTGAGAATCTAGTTACCATCCAAAAGGAGTGTAATACATTTGCTTAAAACCAGTCTTGATATGACTTTTCCGGGCCGAAGCTTTAGCAAAGATTCATTCAACCAGTTGGCACCATCACTATCAAATTCAATGCTAGAAAATAAACCATTTTTACTTTCTGTAATGCAAATGAATGAATCTGATGTTTGAAAGGAAAAATACTTGCTTTCAATAAAGCCCTCAGAACAGTGTGTAAACCTCCCTGGTGGTTTTAAAGAATTAGTGCAGAAATGAGTGTACTCCTTAGGTGACAGACGCCCTCCGATATTGAAGCTTGACCTGCGTCGTCTGCTTGCAATCGGATCCCTCTTGAGTCGCCGCCCGGCAGGAGCTCGCTGGGATTGAGAAAACTCCTTGCTCTGTCGTCGACAGCTTCTCCAACGATAGTCTGCATCTGCGATTCTCCATGAGCCGTCATTCCCAGACCGTCTGCATATGCGATTCTCCATGAGGCGTCGTTCCCAGGTGGCAGGTCTTTTACTAAGCGTCGTCTGCAGTCCTGCAATCCCTGCCGTGTGCGTAATCCCCACACCATAGCAGATCCCCTCTGGTGACTGAATGAGTCTGGACGAATTTGAGTGTTGTTGGTCTTTCTCTGAAATAGGGGCGATGATAGAACTGAAAAGGATAGAAGACCCAACTCTAGACGATTTGTTCTCATAAACTTCGCCGGCTTTGAAGTCGGCCTCCCCGTGAGTCGCCAGATTCCCTCAGATGAAGCTTGAATACTCCATTAATGAGAACTTTTGTACTATGTAATAATGGTAAGGAGCTGAGAGCATTAATAAAATGACATCGCCCAGTACGGAGCCCGAATGACGGGGCTCATTTCAATCTATCAGACATGTTTTGCACCTTTGGGCTCATTTCGGCCGTTTGGCCCGTTAGGGTGGGTTTTCACATTAACCCCGTTCCCCTCTAAATCGAAGGGTTTCCAACATGTTTAGGGACTTTTCCCTTCTCCTCAACTCTACTTCTCTCAAGATGAAGCTTGAATACTCCATTAATGAGAGCTTTTGTACTATGTAATAATGGTAAGGAGCTGAGAGCATTAATAAAATGACAGGACTTGGACATTAGCCTAAAAAAGTCTCGTGGTTTTCTGCATTCCGGATTTCCATGAAAGAAGAGAGTGTTCATACAGTATTTATATCTATATTTATAATATTATGTTATGTTGAATTCAACATTGGCGCTGTCTATGGGAACCAGTTCAAAACGATCCTGTTATAACTCCAATCCAGCTGAGGTCTCCAAAGATTACACCCACAAAGGATGAAAATCACCACCAGAAGTCTCAAGGGAAGAATTGGGCATCGACCAGCTAATCTATTCCGCCCTAGCTTTGAATACTCCACAAAGGGGATGCAAAGGACCGTAGCAGAGAAGAGGGGATTTTGGCCGTTCCAACCCATCGGCAGTCAAGGAGAAAGATTAAATAGTAGAAGAGAAGGCTCGGTTATGGTAACTTACCAAAAACAAGAAGATACGCATTCAAATGTTGAGAAGGGAACAAAATCGCGTAGGCCGACGGGAATGAGGATGCAAACAGGAGAATAAGTGTATGGGTCGGGTATTTCACTTGGGCTTAAGAATAAATGGGCCAATACCAACAAATTCTCCACCTTATTGGACCCTAGTGGTGTAGAGCACAACGCTCTAAAAAATTTGAGACCCCTCATCGCTGGATTGCTCGAATGATCACAGAGACACATTCAGGCAAAAGGGGTAAGATCATCAGGCAACTTATCCGCAGTCAATGTTTAACGTGCGTTTGCACGACAACAACTTTTCGACAGAGAGACATTTAGTCCTCATGTTAGCAGGATTAAATTCAGATGGAATTTTAATCAACTTGATATGAATAAATGGGCCAATACCAACAAATCCTCAACCTTATTGGAACCTAGTGGTGTAGAGCACAACACTCTAAAACAATATGAGACTCATCATTGCCGGATTGCCCGAATGATCACGGAGACACATTCAGGCAAAAGGGGTAAAATCACCAGGCAACTTATCTGCAGTCAATGTTTAACGTGCGTTTGCACGACATCAACTTTTCGACAGAGAGACATTTAGTCCCCACGTTAGCATGATTAAATTCAGATGGAATTTTAATCAACTTGATATGACCTGCACTAACAATATCACGTATAAAATGAAATCTAACATCAATATGCTTAGTTCTATCATGAATAGCAGATTGACAATAAAAAACAACACAAATGTCCTGCTTAAGACTACCGATCTCCGTTAGGAGACGTTTAAGCCAAATGGATTCCTTAAACGCTTCGGTATCGGCCCAAGGCAATTTCATGGGCCAACCCCCCCATGGACGCCTCTGGTACAGGCACATATAAAATTTATCAGGCAACGAACAATACGAGGCAACTAGCACGAACAAGCCGAGAAGACCAATGAACACAAGGTTCGGGGTACAATCTTCTTGTTCTTTCGTATAAGCCCAGATAAAATTTTTATTTACTCAACAGACAGGAAAGTGATTAATTATAACCTATAGGCTATGAATTGTACGAAGAAACTATCACGAACAAGCCGAGAAAATCAATGAACACAAAGCTCAGGTACAATCTCCTTGTTCTTTCGTACTTGCACAAATAGGCTAAAAATCAAATCAACAATCAATGAAACGGGATTAAATCTAAACCGGAAAGAAATGTTCTCCACTTCGGACAACAAGCTAAGTATCCGAACAAAATATTCTTAACCGGAAATTTATCCATGAATCCAAAGACAGAAAATCAAAATTCAAAACGTGATTAAATTTAAACCGGAAAGAAATATTCACACCTTTGGACAATGAGTATCCAAACAAAATATTCTTAACCCGGAAAATTAATCCACAAACCAATAACAAGTAATCACAATTCAAACAAACAAGTAATTGCAATTGAACTTGAAATTAAAATGAATGAACTACGAATAATAATCACACAAAGGATTAAGATTACGTAAATGTACCTAGGGCCGAACACAGCCGGCATCCAAGACCACTTAGGTCAGCAGCGGGGGGGGGGGGGGGTTCCGGTGGCACTCTGGTACACCAAGGATGTTTATCGCCAATTTACCTGAGCGGGGCCCGAGGTTGGGTTACCCGACTTACTGTAGACCGCGTGGGCTGCTGTAGAGCACGGTGTGGATGGCAGCAGCTGACTAGACCGGCGGCAGAGCTCTGGAGAGCACCTTGGACTCCTGGTAGAAGGTGTGGCCGGCTGGAAGTAGTCTGGTTCGAAGTCGGCTACTGCTGGAACGACTCCTGGCGACGGCGGTAGCACTCCCTGGACCTCCGGCAACGGCGAGGCGGCGGCGAGGCAGCGGCAGTCCCTCCGTGACTCTGATACCACTATTATAACTCCAATCCAGCTCAGGTCTCCAAAGGTTACACCCACAAAGGATGAAAATCACCACTAGAAGTCTCAAGGGAAGAATTGGGCATCAACCAGCTAATCTATCGGATCCATGTGTTCTTGGCATTTCTACAAAGTATAGGATAAATCTTTCATGATTATGAGATGACGAGGAGAAGAAACAACTTTTGATTTACACAGTAGTAGCTAGGGGGCAAAAGGTTGTTAGCTAGGCATGGTATTTAGATTGTTTTCCTCACACCAGAATCTTTCTGAAATGGTGGTGCTCTGGTGGACACGAGCGAGATAAAGGACATATTAGAGTATGAGAGGACTAAGACACGGGAACACCAGCAGTTAATCACTTGGGTAGAAATTTGTCATGCAACTGGAATAGGGAAAGATGAAATAATTAAAAATTATGATAGAAGTTAGGTGCCATCTCTCATGGAAGATGTCCCAATTGAAAACTTTGGTGAATTTGCTCAACACTCGTAAGCTAGCCATGATCCTCTAGGACTGAAAATTTTATATGTACCACTAATAGTATTGAATGGTTTTTGGATGAAAGAGTTATAGTTTGTATCTTTGTCAATCCCTCATCCTTCTTCCAAATGGTGATGTTACTCACGCCATGGTCATTGATTTCAAAGGCGTTTAAGTGAAACAATTATACGAACGGGTCACTTGAAAGTGTTGTGTAGCTCGACAGTTAAAAAAATCAATGGTTATTTAAACACCATCTAAGCGCAAATTGAGAATCATTAAGCGAAGGTTATGACAGAACTCTGAATGATTGAAAAACCTTTTACTGGACCTTTTTAGACTAGAATGTGTTTTTCTATTTTAGTTTAGTCTGAAACAATGGTCTGAATATGATACTCCCTCCGTCCCTCTATTAAGTTCCTACTTTGACCTACACACATATTTAGGAATTAAATTTGACTTTACTGTATAGACATTGTTTAAACACTGTTTGGCACTGTTTGGCATTGTTTTGCACTGTTTGACACTTTTTTGATGTAGGATAACTTTCCATTTAGGGAAATGAGAAGATTATTTTGGGACGACCCCAAAAGAAAAATAGGAAGTTAATAGCGGGACGGAGGGAGTATGATTTTGTATCATGATATATTAATATGCATGCACATTTTTTACTTCCAATCAGATATGTATACTACAATATATTTAAACAAGAAGTTTCAATTCATACCTAAAAGCAGTTCCTTGTTGTGTATTCGATCACTTAATTTTTTGAAAATGGAAGCAATAAAAGACTCCAAGCCCTCTTCACAATCCTAAGATATTCTCAATAACATTAAGGGTATGTTTGGTTTGGGGTAATCTCACATGAAGGCCGGAATGTGATGTACGAAATGTCAGATACCCATGTTTGGTTCACGAGTTTGAGTAAAAATCGGAAAAGTTACATTCCCGGGAATGTAAGATGGAGGGGAATCTTATAACCACTCATGCCTTAGGTTATCTTACATTCCCGATGATGGACTATTTTTCTTCCGAAAATATCCTCAATTAATTATCTCTTTTCATTTTATTTCTTTATATAGTGCGATTTTATAAAACTTTTAATGTAGTTTCTAAATATGTAAATTATATTTACTAAAAAAATAATCTTATTATTGAAAGAGATCAATTAATTTTATGATCAGTCGATCGTAGATTGTGTGACAACCATTTAAGCAGGACAGATGAAGTATGTTTATTTAATTATATTCGAATATCTATTCTTATTTGTTGGGTTAATGGCCGAATTAGAGGATCGGACCATTAATCCCCCTCTCAGACGAACATCTAGGCCCAACGGGTTAGCATACCAGGCCACGACGAACGTCAGGCCTTAGCAATGGTGAGTCATGCCTCAAAGGCTCAAGGCCAGGAAGACGGACGTCGCCACCTGCGGCCCACGACACAAAGGGATCCAATGCGAAAGCCACGCAGCATATTCTACCAAGGGCCAAGCTACGCACGGCCCACAACCCATGCAATATTACTAAACACAGGCCACGATCCAAGGGAGACGCCCGTCTCCACTAATTGGGCGGGAAACCCAGATTCTGGCGGGAAGCGCATTTAATGCTGGGGATTTGGTGGTTGAGGCATCAGCCATTCACAACTCTCCACATCAGGATAGCCAACTGCCCATTGGTTGTATAAATAGCAGCATTTATTTCATTGTAAAGGGTTGACAACTATCAGCCTTAGCACTCTAGCTTACTTTCAGCTCTTAGCTTAATACTCGCAGCTCTTCTATTGAGGTGTAAGACGAATGGTCTTCGGCCTTAGCAAGCGTATTGTATCGGGGTTTATTACACTTTAATAATACTCGGTTCTTTTACTTGCTTATATTTTCTTAGCCCATCTTTCTTGCTTGTTGGATCACATAATCACCCACACATAAAATATCCACTTGAAATCCTTGGGCTTACATGTTGAGCTTAAGGGTTGAAGGAATAAACCTCAAAATTATTATTTTCATAATTCTTTTTTCTGTAACATTTAATTTTTTTAAGGTATTATTTTATAAGACTTGTAGATTATTTAAGTTTTTGATCAGTGGATTTTAAAACTTATTGGCAAAATTGATCATTTTTTCTTTAATTTGAAAAGAAGTTTTATGAATAACTTGAACATTTTTTAAATTTAATTTTTTTGAAATAATAATAAATATATTTAGATTGAACAAAGG